TTCCAGTGCTCGCCAAATAAAATGTTGTTTTCAAATTGAGTTTCTAATTTTATTTATATGGTTAGATTTAGTTTATATATATTTTTTTATTTTATTATATGAAGTAGAACACTGAACATTTTCCCAGACATTATTCCGAGGCAAAACAAATTTTTCGGAATGGATGTACTTGTATTATATGGGGGCAAAATATACTATGACATTTGGGAAAAATAACTGATTAGAGTTTTAATAGTATGAAAGTACTATTGTATTTGGCAAAGATAATTGATTTCCATTGTCGAGCTATTTTTGTAATTGAAGTCGGAAATAAAAATGTATTTGGCAAAGTTTTTTAAAAAATCGAATACTAATTTACGAAACGAATGCTTCCTAATGGTGAGAAGTTTGAAAATGTTTGACATGAAATTAATGTCATAAACGATGTTTATTTATTGATAGTTCAAAATTTGTTTAACTACCAATAAAATAAATTTGTTCCATTGTCAAGAAATAAAACCAAATGGAATACCGGCTCTCACGCATACTCGCTGAGAGCGTGGCGCCGACGCACACATACTCAACGCTTCGACCTGTACATACGTTACACCTAACGTCATACCGACTACATCGAACTATGTTATTGGGTATCTCCTTCCATCTAGGTTTTATGGGTTCCCAACGGAACATTCATCATTTTTTTATTAATTTCCGAGCTTATCAAAATTGTATCTACAGTGTAACTTAACTCTCGAGCACCCACGTTGTAATTTTGTCTGTGTCATTTGCGGCTGAAATAAATGAGGTTTGTTTGTTTTCGTGTGATGGCTTTCGGCCCAATAGTATGGGCCCAGTACCACAATTCTGGTTTTCTATTTAATTTTATTTTATCTCGTTTATTTTTCTGTCTCTCTGCCAACCTCGGTCGGCCGGGTTCGAAATAAATGAGGTAAGTGAAGGGTAAAATCGAAAAGGGCGCCACGAGTGTTCTTCCCTTACCATCAAATGCGAGCAGTGATGGTAAGCGTAGGTAAGCTACCACCGTCAACTGCCGCATGGTATTACCGTCACGAGTACGTGAGCCGCCAGCGGCGACTGGTAGGTGGCACCGCCATCGCGAGTGCGTGAGCCCCTACCAGAAATTCGTTGCGCCGCCCTTGGGGGCAAAAACGGTGAAAGCTCACATACAAAACCAGAGGGCAGCACACGATGCGATCGCGCGACCCTGCCCGTTTGCAATCTCCCAACTCATCTCTGCAATGCTTTACATTCGTATATCCTTGCCGATAAAGGACGGTCTCGCCCCTGTGAAACCAGTTTACCTTCTGCTCGGTANCATTTTTTTTAAATTCCATTTTCTTCGACATAGACTGACACTTTCATTCAATTTTTGAATATATACGATTCCTCGTAGGGTAATATGAAATATTGCCACAAAGGCATCATTTCTGTACTGCAATGAGATGTACGACCATTAGTGAGTTCAACGTATTATTGTTACGTCGTTCGGCCGCGTATATTTTGGTAATAGACATGTTCTATTTAAACGACTTGTTAAATTTCTTAAAATTCTCTCTTTTTAAATGATGTAGCAAAACGTTAGCTTCCCAACGTTTATTAATTTTTTATCATGCAACGCGAAGTTTAAAAGCTACAAAAAAAATTAAGGTTTGAAATTACGCAATTTTGCAAATTTTGTAAATTTTCATTCTTTTCGACATAGACTGACACTTTTATTTCATTCTCTTTAATAATAAAATCCCCGATTTGTAGATCTTAGTAGAATGCAGAATTTCAACTATTTTCCTTCATTTTAAATATAATCCCCACACCCTATGACCTCTAGGTACAAATTCACCGACCATTACGCCAAAGTATCGGACAAAACAAGTAATTTCTGAAGCAAACATAACGATTATTACTTTCGAACATTTGTCCGAAGAAATAATCGGAAGTTTGTTTGGTTTTTTTAAAACATCGTAATTAAAATTTTTTATTCTGAAATTTAGTATTTCGAGACTAAATGCATGTAAATGAAACAGGAGATAATTAATAATTTTAGACACGGTATACTTTGCTACGCCTTCCGAAATATCATGCATGATATCGAGCGCTACATTTGTTGTAACGTGGAATCCTTTTAAATTGTGCCACATGCACCGCTCTTTAATACCGGTTTCAGAAACACTGCCTTGTAAATCGCTTTCGTTACTATCTATCATTCTTGCGGATCTTCTTCGCATACAACTTGTAGAAACTCTTTTCTAATTTCACACATTCGACAGTAAAAATTAGCTGACAAAGATTCAACTAATCCTAAAATGCTATGCAAACCTAAGTTATCACCACACAGTAACGCAACTTGAAAATATACGGTTACGTTATTTACTATGATACCTCAAACTCACAATCAGTATGATGAGCATCGCCTTGGAGACATCTGTATAATAATCTTGGCTCGATTCTTATAATAAAACCACGTGTAGTAACACATACATACGTATGGTCGCAAGTTTCTATTTCGGTAGATGTTCTATAATAATTGTTTTCTAATTTAAAGTTGAGTAAAATGTTATGTTAATTTCCAATTAATTAGACAGTACGTTGAACTAAACGTACATTACCACTTGACAAAAATGTAAATAGTAATTCCTGTAAATAAATAAAAAAGTGTAGGGAATATTTTTAAAGTAGAGTCCATTGAGTGTTAATATCGGTAATATTCATACTTTATTTTAACAAAGTATGCGGTAGTTCGGTGAAGGGATCGGCGTCGGACGCGACGAGTCTCCAAGAGTTTCGTCTTACGAATGTCCTGATTCCTCATCCCTGCTGGATGGGGTGAAGTGGTCCAGAGGGAACAGGAATGCGCCTTCAAAAGCATTGGTGAAATTTAACAGGTTTACTTATTTTCATCCTATATTTAATATCCAAGCTGTTCATATCCCATCATTAGGAAATCTATCTAAATTACAAAGCAAGAGAAACATTGCAGTAGATTAGCACATCCAGGAAAAATTATTCACGTCGTAATACGTCAGATACGAGTCGACTTGTTCGAATCGAAATCGGACCCCATATCTCTATTAGTCTCTTTGGTGTATCGGTTGGAGCCACTGGATCACGCCAACGCGAACCCCTCTTTCGGCAAACAATAACATCTCTTCGTTATCGAGAAGTTGAAGTTCAACACCCGTACACTTTAGCATAGCATCGAAGACAAGGCCAGGTGCCCTGAAATAATGCAACGCGTCCAATTTGTACGTGGATGAACATTTGCGTCTAAAGTTTTCAAAAATCTCCGCTAAGAGTACCACGTCGGTCTTCGGATACACATCGAAATATCCATCCAAAGTCTTAATATCAAAAGTTGGCCGAAAAATGTTTCATTATGCTCGCGCGATCGAGGTTCTGGAAGGACTCTAAAAGGGGCCGACGAAATTTCTGGAATCGTCTCGCGGACGTCGGAACGCTGCTGGCAGATTCCTGGAACCGACGGGGAGGAACGCTGCGGCTGCAAAGGCGAAGGGTCCCCGTTGCATCACCCCGGTCGAAGTGGGGTCTCTCTGACGTTGCTTGACGTTCGAGCTTGCGGTCGAACGTTCTAGAAGGGCGGTTTTCGACGACCTTCGAGTCTCCGTGGCATCACCGGTAGAACGTCGCATACAAGGGGGAAAGGGAGGATAACGTAATGATAACGAGTCAAATTTAGTGAAGCTGATCTTAAGGACATTGAATATAGTCGTTTTAATTTCATTCGATCAATGTTTCGTCTTATTTTATTGTAGCCGATAAAGTATCTGCTCGACCCAAGAATTTCTTTTTCTTGTTTTTCTAGAACTATTTTCCGTCGGCCAGGGTATTGAGCTATATACTGCGCTTGTTTCTTATTCCGAGCAATAAAAAGAAACCGCATTGTTATCGGCGGACCAAATATTATTCTCGAATATCATTCGAACTTCATACGATTCGTATCTAACGGTATCGATTTCGCATTTACTCGTTGGCAAAGGAAATTGATATCTGACACGAAATTTAATTTCATGAACTGCGATTGCAGTCGACAATACTTTCTTGTTGACGATACTCTATCTTACTAGTATGCTTAAAACGATAATACAATTGAGGGAAGATTAAATGGAGCATATTAGGATAAGTACATCCGATCTCGGTGAGTAATTATGTGACGAGCTCGAGTTAATTAAACTCATGACAATTGGCTGCTTGTGATGACGAGCTATAAAGTCATTTAAAAATGCTGTCGTTTTTACACGTTTTTACGCATTTCTTTCGCATTTTTACGCGATTTTATGCGTTTTGACCCGTTTTTACGCGATTTTACACGTAAATTTTGAAGTAATGTCACAACTAATGCTCTAAAAGTTAGTAACGTAGAGAATTCAATAATAATTCCCTGATAATTTGTTAAAAGTAAATGGTTGAACTTGATTATATTCAAATGGCTCTGATATATAGCGAAGGTTGCGACGCATCTCGTAGGAGAATCGACGAAGCGAATGAAGGCTCGATCCTTCTTCCTTCAGGGTCTGGTTCTGCAATACTGCTTACAATATCCGATAAAGTGTATTTACATGACGATGTTGCTACCATAACCAATCGAAGGATTTCATTTCTGTTGATTTTTATTTTCAGGGCCTGGTTCAGTTTTCTTGGGTGGCACAACTTTAGATTTCGCCGAGCATTGTAGAGAAAAGATGGAAGCAGTAAAAATTGGTACGATGAAAATACATTACATGGTGTTGACTCAATTTGTTAATTTACCCATCACAATTCGTCCTCTTTATTCTAAATTAAACATGTAAATTGATCGTTTTCTTTTATATCTGAAATTTAAGGGGAGAACCTTAAGTAACCAGCTAAAAATAAAATCATACGCGAGAAATCTTTTTGTAGAAACGATTCGCTGCAATTCCTAAACTTTTATTACATTTTGCTGTATATTACGGAGATGATAGAAACGGACACATGATTTTCTTCTACCCAGACAGAAATTCATGATCATATGATGGAGGAAAATCAATTTACAAACAATTTGCAGACCATTTGCTGCTTGCAATGTTTGCACTATATGTACGCATATTACACAATAAATTTGAACAAACATTTGCAGTAAATTTGTCATAAATGGTTGTAGCAATATATTTACCGCATACTCCAGTCATATGCCAGATATGCCATAACCGGCATTTATGACTTAAAATTTATGGAAAAGTTAACAAGAGTTATAACATCATTCTCTGACGTTAATTCATGGACATTGTATGAAGTTAATGCTACAAATGTGAACTAAATATGACGTTGCTCCATGTTCCCGTTTCCATCATGCCAAGACTCAAATATGAACAACAGACGGTGCAATTGTTTATTAGCAAAGTCTGAGATAAATTTAGCTTTACATATGCGGATGAACGTTGAGATATTGCATGCACTTAACCTTGTTTTATATTTAAGTATTTTTGGTTCGTTATTGTGTACTGCATATACGACTTCTAAATAAAAGGACTCATAAGCGACACCCTCATGACTTCTTTCATAATCTTTTATGAGGCAAATTGAGCGAAATTTTGCATCACTTTGTCTATCTGGGTTACCCATGTAAAAACGCATGATTTTCTTTTGTTTAGCGATGAAGAATACTGACTCTTCTCAGAAGGACTCTGAGAATGTCAAATGTACTCGGAATGAATCTGGGAGCACGGATATACAAGAAGAAGATTTAAAATCTGACATACAAAAGAAACTCTCCATGACAAGTTGTCCTTACACGTGGGGTATGGAGAAATTACTGACAGACAATGTATTCGAATGGGAGGATACGGATAGGGAGGAAATCCTTTCCGAGATAATGGGAATAATGATGATGCTACTAAAAGCTAACGTATATGACAATAAGAAGAAAATTGACGATGCCCTAGAAGAAATACAGAAAGCAGAAGACGTTTTTAAACTTTTACTAGGAAGGTAATGTTTAACAATAGATCCATGTTATTTTATCTTACATTTTATAGTTAGCTTACAATATGCCAATGACTCATGGAACGAATTTTTCTTAGTTCAGCTTCTTGTTTTATTTCGTGCGTTTCTAGATAATGAGACTGACGATTGTTTTTATATATAATTACATCAAAAAACACTTTCGGTATGAAAGACATGAACCGATTTAACACGCTATCGTGTCTATTGAGTTCAAGTTCTAATGTAATTTTTTCAGGTACATTTGAAAGTAATCTATACGTGAAACGAAACGTAAGAAAGTTTAAGGTGAAGTGAAACCCGTCCAGAAATTGAATCGAAGCCGGTAAAGAAATTTCTGACTATCTATATTACCGATGTTAATATTTATTTTGAGTCTTGTGTCGTACTAAATTGAATATTGTACCGAATAGTATACTTCCCGTCGTTTTCAAACAATGATTATAATGAAATCGCAGTAAAAGTCAGGAAAATCCCTGATTTCATGATTTTTATGTCCCAACTATCTGCATAGTGCCACCCAGCGCCATCTGTATATTTAATGCCAATTAGATTTTCTCTGAAACTTCGCGTTACCTTCGTCTTAGCACAGAAGCTCGTACGACACTTTTTCGCCTTCATCTCTTTGAAATGCGAGTTTATCGATTACTAGAATGTTCTAAATTATTGTACAAGTGTTCTGACGCTATCGTTTGTCATATCACAGCCATTAATAATTGTTTGCTGTTCGAAATTGGCAGCTCGGTGCATTTTTGGTTCTGGTCAAGACTAAGTAAAAAAATGTTATTTGAAAATCCAAATTTTAAAAGTGTCAGAACAAGTTTTAGACGCTCACGAGTCATGTGTCGAAGTTTTGGACAGTCGGGTCCAATACCCTTCAAAAAAGTCCTTATTTCAATCAATTGGTCTGAGAGGAATTTCACTTCACCTTAAATGCATGAAAATGTCATTGAATTGTATACGCAGACTTCGTTTCGTAACTTTGTGTTGCCCTAGTCAGCATTCAGACAAGATTTTTTACGATTGTACATTGTTGCATGTTTCAGTATACCAGATGATCAAAAATATTTATTGAACGTCCTGCGGCATATCATCTTTTCAACAAAAGGCCACGTCCTTTATGGAGCGAAACAATTTAAAGAGGCACAAATCGCATTAAAAGAAACCTACGTTCATAATGTTTTAAATTTGACCGACAAGGAACTTGGTAGTTTGTACGGATGCCAGGCAATTGCCTGGTCATTGTTCCGGATTAATACCGGACAAAAAACCCTGGAATTAGTTAAACGGGCTATTGAAAAAGATAATAAGAATGCTCATTGGTATTTTTTTCTGGGCAAAACCTTGAGGCGTCTGAGGCGATTCAACTTATATCGGACGTTTCCGTCTAATGAAGAAATGGAGGCTTTTGGCAAAGCCTTTTCGCTCTCGCAGTGCCCCACTATGGGCATTTACTATGCACAATCAAAAGCTGAATCGAAGCAACAGTTCGAAGCACGTTCCATTTATACACAAATTTTTAATTTAGAGCAGAAAAGTTTCAAAGTACAGCTACGACTAGCCCTCGGATTTATACGCCTGAGGATGAGCACTGAAGCCAAACAGTGTTTGAATTTGGCAGGCCGAGAAAATCCCGAAAATGTGACGTATTTGCACTACATGGGGATGTATTTGGACTTATGTTGCAAAAAATCAAAGGTGTGGTAATTATATCTTCCTTTTGAAGCGAAGTTTCTTACAGGACGGTGATAGGTGTAAATAATCTTCTTACGAAATGGACCCGTTTCGGAAAGTAGATCGGAGATGTTAGTTGGCATTTTAAATCTTTTTCTTATTATTGCAAAGAACAACCTGTATAAACATTTTTGGGTACGAAGGTTTCCCGCTTCTCCAATTCTTCTATGAATGAAAACACAGAGAAAATGCTGTACCATTTCCCCTTAATAATACTTGTACCATCCTTTTATCTGTATGAACTGCATTTTTATAATGTACAAACTTCATTATAAAAGTAACAATAATTAATAGACTGCCGCTTTGTTTATCGTGTAAATATACTGTTTTAGGAAGCCCTTGATTATTACAAACTAGCTGGCGAACGGGGAAATAGTGCATCGTATTGGTCATATATGAGTTGCATGCGAAAATTGAACAAGAATTACAATCCCCGAGAGGACTTATGCAAAATGTTGGACAAGTGCGAAGAAGATGATAACGTTTTAAAACAGAAGTTATTGCTTCATATAGCGGAATGTTACGAATATATGGATCGTGACATGAATCAAGCAGCTGAATACTACCTGAAAGCTGTAACAATTGATCCAAAAGGAGCAATCCTAAACGTCAGTATATTAGATAATTTTATTGTCATGACATCATGATAATTTTATAGACATGTTATACATTATCGGTATAATACATTTGTACAAATTTGCGCAATATATCTTCTTCAGGCCGTCGGATAATACGCATTGTTGTTATGTTGTACAGGGTGTCCCACCTTAAATAATTAATTAGAATATTTTACGAACTAAAAGTTTAATCAGAAACGGCTTCATATAAAAGTTGCACGGTTTCGAGGGCGAAAAAGCAGGGAACACACGGAGAAAAATATAGTATTTATAATAGTGATGCTGTACAAGCAACGCTCGTTTTCTTAATAGTATTTTTTCCAAATTTCTTGTTTGAAAATCTAGAATTTTTTAAGGAATTCTACTCACTGAGCCGTTAACACCGTACAAATCCTTTCTTAGTACATGCTCGATTGCAAATTGAAATGTTTAATTTGAAAGAATAGTGGATCCGATATGACTAACTCCTATTCGAAAAATTGACTATTCACACAAATTTCCACTATCTTCAAATTGGAAAATGCTTCCTACATAAATAAGTGTCTCTTCAAAAGGAAATAAATTTTGTAAAATAGGGTTAATCTCTTAGTGAGTCGTGAAACATTTCTTTAAAAGTTGCAGATTTTCAGTCGAGACAATTGAACAAAATTTGATTGCATTAAAAAAACATGCTCTGCTTGTCGTATTACCGGATTAAGATTGTATTAAAAATATTGAGCACCATCAATTTGTAAAATGGGCGATTACTCGGAAGAACAGTAATTTTCCTTTGTAATATAGTTAGTCTATTTAATTTGTTAAATAACTAATGCCATTAGTTAATTAAACTTGTCATCAAGTAAAATTATATTTTCAAGTGTTTTCGTTAATAGTTGTATTCTAAAACCTAATTCTTTCTTTTATAGGAACATTCGAGTATTCTAAATTGCACACATTTAAATGCATGGAATAGTATAGAACATAATGTGCTGCGAAGACTGGCAGATAAAAACTCTATCCTATATAAAGAGTTAATGAATTTCTGCCGAAGAAGGAAGGAATACGAAAAGTTACCGTTCACGAAGGAGTTGCAGAACATAGCACTTTGAATCTCTCAAATCCTACTCTACGGTATAATTATAGTTCTTGTTCTCTATGCGTGCTTGAAAACCGTTTCAACGAATACGATGGCCCAATAATCGTAGTACAGGGTACAGAAGATTATTTTTCATAAAAATTAGCGGAATAAGACACTCTGTTACCGAGGGAAACTATTTCGAAAGTTTGATGGATACATGTGCACTTAACGGATTATAAATCTTAAACTTGGTGTGGAATACAATATTTAAAAAAAAAATGGAAAAAAAATTTATATTGCGTAATTTTGACTTAATTTGATACAAATAATTACCTTTGACGATCATTGTAATGCCTTGGCTTACGCGTACATGTATTCCAAAATGGAAGAAAACATCCATTAACGTGCAAGGTTATATCCCTTGTCAGCAGGCTTCGGGCTGAGTTAGATAAATCGATAAACAATAGTTTCGCCATTATATTCGCCAGAGATGCCTTCTTGGTACGTAGTCAACTTACGAGTTTAGCAGTATACTGAGCAAATTTTCGTACTTATTCTTATACTTGTTCAAGCGACTACTTATTCTTACTCCTGTTGGTCCTTTCGTGTTGAAGTCCTTTCACAAAGATCTAGGAGAAGAATAATAATTATTCGAAATAGATGTACTCGTAGATCATGTTCAGGGTTTAGTATGTCCTGAAATTCGTTTTAATTAGAGCGAATCGCTGGACACGGAACAAGAATAAGATTGGTTTAGTAGATTTCGTAATACTAAACATCCATGGAGTGGAAAATAGTATTAAGCCTGAACGTTCCAAATGTAACAAAAAAAGGAGCCGCTGGTAGGGAAATTGAGATGTACTTTTCCTTTGGCATTCGACTGTTGTCAGTTTGAAGCGTACATCTCTGCGAGCACTGATTGAAAACATGAGAGCAAAATACCTGGGCGACAAACGAAGTTTCAATAAGATCACCTCTATTGGAAATATGAAACTTCGTTTATCGCCCAGAGTGACGCTTTTCGATTGATTTACAAACGAAGGTGTTCGAGAGTTCTGCTTCGTTTTTTCTGGATTTATTAATATCTGCACTAATCCATTTGCAGTATTAACACTTCGACTGCCACGCGCATTTTATTTGTTAATGTCGAGTGAGAGAACGTTCAAAAATTAAATTGCCAAATCGAATCTCTTGATATTAGTACTTGACAAGTAAATGCTTGAGACTTATTCATGTTTTACATTATGTACCCGTTAATGAGAGATGAAATCTATCGAACAAAGTTATTATTAGAATTAATTATCGTGACCTGGGTTTACTGCGTTCTTTTTTTGTTTAATCATCTGAAACCAACGTTGCTATTAGTAAACTAGTATTCTACTAGTTTGAAAATTGGTTTAACTTCAGTGTTATTTCTATGTTGAATTGTGGCACGATTATCCGAAAATATCTTCGATCCTGTTTAACATATGCTAATCGCAAGGAAATTCTAATTTTACAAATGTGTGTTAACTTTGAACGAACAACCTTGCCACACATACCAACTCATTAAATTTTTACAACGACTTACGTTTGTTTGCGTAAAGACTGTTAGTGATTAAACAGTATTCAGAAATTTATTTGTTTAGTTTTATTATAAAATGTATGTTACGTTTTAGTTATACGATAAAGTGTATTCAAGCTTGTTTATAGCTGTTAAGAAATAAGTTTAAACTATGCGCGACTGATGCTATGATTCTTGCTTAAGAATAAGAAAACAGTTAAAGAACTTACATGTCGTATCAGTATTGTCAGAAAATTTCTAAAACAGGGTTTACTATGATATTAACATATTATTATATGTTAAACCGTGTTCTTTTTATATGTTATGTTTAAGTGAACATTTTAACACTGTGAATTATGTATTTTTCGTTGGTTCAATCATTGTATTGAACATATTGTTCTTCCTTATCGATCTGCATCATTTGCAGTATTTTTAACCAAATATAAAAAATAAGTATTAACGTATAATAGGTTAATCCTTGTTTCTTCCACTTGTTACGTTATACTGGGAATTTCAATAAAGAGTTTATTTTCATTTATTGTTACATTAAATTAGACGTGTACATTAGGAATCAAGAAACTTGGCTCGAAACATTTCTCGCATCACGCAATGCTACGAGTTCCGAGCCAAATACATTTTTTAACGAGAAACTCGTACCGTTGTGAGCGTTGTGATGCGAGAAACGCGCCCTGCGCGTTTAGTTCGAGCGAGACGCTACAGAGTTATATACAATAAGGAGCGAGATTTCAGGAGTGGGGAAAAATAATATAATTACTTCGTTGGTTTCGGAAACGACTGTGCGCAAGAATTTGTACTCTCCGACAAGCGCTTCAAATTTGGAAGTCAGCTCGTGTACACTCCTGCTTACGGAAGTTGAAGTTAGGCAAGACGACTTGAAATCAAACTAGAAACTCTTGCTGCGTTGCGGACAAATTCCTAAGTGTTATGAAATGTTAAGTTTGTTAAATAAACAATTATTTTCCTTTACATATGTTTCATTTATGTCAGAGTTCTTCTATAAATTTGTTGTGATTTTCGAGTCATTCCAGAAAGCTACAACAAATTTAAGTAAAAAACAAGGTAATTTAGAAAAATAAAAGGTTTTGAATAACCTGCGCTAAATGACGAGACTCACTAGCGCTAGAATGATTTGCTCCGGTAACTACTGGAGTAATTTGGGGGAGAGGGTAGAGGAGTCGCTAGTCTATAAATATTTCTTGTCTATGCATTGTGGACGCAGGCTCTAAGCTCTGACGAAATTTCTTGCGATGCAAATGTGGCATATATCGTAGCATATTGTTGTGATAGCTCTATTTTGCAAGAATACAAAGAAAGATTAGAAGAAATGCACCAAATTCATTCGAAATAAAAAAATGTATTCACGAGAAAAAATTATCTCATGATTTGAACCATTCACCCCGTCGCTTATATTTCGTGTATCAAGACTTCTGTGCGCGCGCAGTATGTTTCTTGCAACTTTTACAATTAAAGAAAGAAGACCCCGGTCTATCTAATGTCGGGAAATGTAAAAATCATACGCGAAATGACTCAGCTTATATCCGCGGCTAGGTAAGCCTCGGGAGGATTTTTCGCAGCATTCGACTCTCACGCTTACTCGTTGTGAGTTGAGCGCTAAAGGCACACATACTCAACGCCTCGACCCGTAGCTTGGCGCTTGGCTGGTTGGGACGCGCGAAGATTTCTAGGAGCGATCGCACTCACACAGACTCGCTGCATGTGAGTTCAGCACGTGACACCGACGCGTGCCCTAAAGCCCGCATCACGCCGACTTCGTGGCAACAATGTACTATAAAGTTCTTTTCATCTTTTTTTATCTTTCCCCGACTGGTGCGATCACATCGTTCATGACTCACGTGCTCGGTGTTTAACGATGTTCTTAAAGTTTCGTTAATTACCATTGTTTTACCGTGAGCCGGAATATTTCAGGACAAATGTTTTGCAGTAAAGTTACTAATGTAAGGGACAAATACTTGAACCAGAGATTTTTAACTTCCGAGCTCAATCTCAAAATGACGATTATAATTAAAATTTTTGCAATGAATAAGATAACGGTAGCAACATGGGCAACTAAATAATAATACTAACGATAAGAATGATTGATACTGTTATCTAACTTTACGATTTTAATTAATTTCACATTAATTATTAAAATCACCTTAGGGACAGTGAAACAAATAATGAAAAGCCGAACACATAATCAAATATTACGTGACTGCAATGTATTTTGTGCGATTACTATGAACTGTAAAACATGAGGAAAGAAATTTGCGTGAAAACCCGTACCCACTCTTCCCTTCCTTTAGAATTTCAACTTGCGACACGTACGTTACACCTGACGTCATACCGACTACGTCGAACTATGTTGTTGGGTATCTCCTTCCATCTAGGTTTTATGTGTTCCCTACGGAACATTCATCATTTTTTTATTAATTTCCGAGCTTATAAAAATTGTATCTACAGTGTAACTTAACTCTCGAGCACCCACGTTGTAAATTTTGCCTGCATCATTTGCGGATGAAATAAATGAGGTAAGTGAAGGGTAAAATCAAAAAGGGCGGCACGAGTGTTCTTCCCTTACCATCAAATGCGAGCAGTGTTGGTAAGCGTAGGTAAGCTACCACCGTCAACTGCCGCATGGTATTACCGTCACGAGTACGTGAGCCGCTAGCGACGACTGGCAGATGGCACCGCCATCGCGAGAGCGCGAGCCCCTACCAGAAATTCGTTGCGCCGCCCTTGGGGGTCAAAAACGGTGTAAGCTCATGTAAAAAACTAGAGGACAGCGCACGATGCGATCGCGCGACCCAGCTCGTGAGCAACCTCCCAACTCATCTCTGCAATGCTTTACATTCGTATATCCTTGCCGATAAAGGACGGTCTCGCCCCTGTGAAACCAGTTTACCTTCTGCTCGGTAGGTGGCACTTCTTTCGGACCATACTCTTTTATCGACGGTATAAGTTTTCGCCCTTTTGAAAGCGGTTCATATCTTGACCACGAGATGGCGAATCATTCATGCCGTACTGTTTTACCGGTCACGAATATTTCGCCCCTTTGAAAGCAGTTCCAACTTTTACAGGGGCGAAGAGGGCGCCAGTGAGTCGTGCCTTACTTTTGAACAATGGCATAAAAAATCTCCCCGCTCATCTCTGGTTTACTATGTATTTCAGTGAGTCAAACGCGTAGAAACGCGCCCCCAAATAATGCTCGTGCCTGTTCCTTTTTTCCTAATTCGAACGTGACGTTGATAAGAAGGGTACGGAAGCTTTTCCTGGCAGTTCCAGTCAGCAGTCCATGAGATCAACATCGACCGTGCAAAGAATTCATCTATTGACAAGTAAGTTCTAATGAAACATCGGAAAATACTTTTTAATGAAACTTTGGCTTTCTTTACTATTTTCAAACGGGTAAATATTTTTACAAAGGCATGGTTTCGTATACAATGTGTTCGATGTAAACCATTAACGATTAACAAATATACGCGTTCCGTGACAACAATCAACGTTGACCATGCGTTCTAAAATGTATTCTAAAATTTGCTTTAAAATGCATTTTAACACTTTGACTGCCGTGGGGGCCACCGGCAACCGCCTTGCCATAGTACACTCGTCATTTGTTTCGACAGTCAACCTGTTAAAATGCGTTCTAATATGCATTGTTGAAACTTGAGAATTTTTGCTCTTGATATAAAAAATTTGTAGATAAATTCACACTCATGGGCACTCGTGTGATAGTTTATAGTGTTACAATTTTGAGTGATAAATGCGATTGTAAAATGTGGATCTCTCATACCGATCTGATTATAATAACGGTTTTACCGAATGAGAAAACAAAAAGGTGGCTTTCGCGCTCTTCATTCTCTTTGTATGAAACAGTGGCGCAATATGACTACCTATCGAACTGTAAGCGAGAGGATCGGTTTTTTTTTTGTTTGCTTTGTTTCCCTTTCACTTCTTTCACAAAAGTATTAAGGGAATTGTAAGGCTTTCGGTTTTCACGAGTATTAATTGGCAAA